GTTCTCTGTTCCATCATACAAATCAGGAAGTAGATGGGTTCTCTGTTCCATCATACAGATCAGGATGGAGACTAGTTCTGTGCTCCATCATACAAATCAGGAAGTAGATGGGTTCACTGTTCCATCATACAAATCAGGAAGTAGATGGGTTCACTGTTCCATCATACAAATCAGGAAGTAGATAGGTTCTCTGTTCCATCATACAACTCAGGAAGTAGATGGGTTCTCTGTTCCATCATACAAATCAGGAAGTAGATGGGTTCTCTGTTCCATCATACAAATCAGGAAGTTGACGGGTTCTCTGTTCCATCATACAGATCAGGATGGAGACAAATTCTGTGTTCCATCATACAAATCAGGAAGTAGATGGGTTCTCTGTTCCATCATACAAATCAGGAAGTAGATGGGTTCTCTGTTCCATCATACAGATCAGGAAGGAGACAAGTTCTGTGTTCCATCATACAAATCAGGAAGTAGACGGGTTCTCTGTTCCATCATACAGATCAGGAAGTAGACGGGTTCTCTGTTCCATCATACAAATCAGGAAGTAGACGGGTTCTCTGTTCCATCATACAGATGAAGAAGGAGACGGGTTCTGTGTTTCATTCTGTTCTCCTCCCTGCTGGACCTCCTGCAGTTTGCCTGCCTGTCTCTGTCTCGAGGGTTTCCCTCAGCTCCTAATGAGAGCTGATAGCTATCTCTGGAGACACCGCTGGGGACGAGACGTCTGTCCTTATGTCTTTTAACAACACCCTCAAACCCTGGTTCTCTCCTCTGTCCCAGGGCCACCCCTTTTCAAGTTCAAGTTCGAGTCAATTTTACTGTCATTCACATCACATGTGGTATACGAGGTGGAGCAAAACTGTGTACACAAGGTCCCAGTTACAGCCAACATTAGCAAAAATATGAAGTATAAAAATAAAAGGTATACAAAGATCTATGCTAAACACTAATAATGTAAAATAATATGGTGTATTAAACAAAACCCTGAACACGAGTGAGCAGATTGGTATGAATATAGCAGCTTAAAGTCACTAAATCAGCAGCACATATAAAGTGACACATCACCAAGTAAAGTAGCTTTAAAGAGATTTTATTTTAATTTTTTTCTTACAGTGATTTTTCTGGTTAGAGACTCATGAGTCTAACAGCCTCAGGGTAGAAGCTGTTCCTCAGTCTAGTGGTTCTACACTTAATGGACCTCAACCTCCTGTCTGAGGGGAGCAGGGCAAAAAGTGTGTGTGCTGGGTGAGTGAGGTCCTTCATGATGCCGGTGGCCCTCTGCCTTATCTGGAGGTGTAAATGTCTGTGATGTGGAGGCTGACTCCAACAGTCTTCTGTGCAGCCTTCACCACTCTCTGCAAAGCTTTTCTTTCTACAGCTGTGCAGCCTCCATGCCACATGTTGATGCTGGGGTACAGGATGCTCTCCACTGCACACCTGTAGAAGGAGGTGAGGACTGAGCTTCCCAGATCAGCTCGCCTCAGCCACCTGAGGAAGTAGAGTCTCTGATGAGCTTTCTTGATCAGGCTGGTGGTGTTGTTGCTCCAGCTGAGGTTGTCATTCGGCTGCACACCCAAGTACTTGTAACTGAAGACCACTTCCATTGCAGATCCTCCTATGTTCAGGGGGGTGGGGGTAGGTGTGTGTTTGCTCCTTCTGAAATCCACAATCATCTCCTTCGTCTTCTTCACATTGATGTGGAGGTTGTTCTTCCTACACCAGCTCTCCAGGTGTTCCACCTCCTACCTGTAGCTGGACTCATCATTGTCTGTGATGTATCCATCCACTGCTGTATCATCTGCAAACTTTACAATATGACAGCCTGATGGGTGGGTGTGCAGTCATATGTGAGCAGTGTGAATAGAAGGGGACTCAACACACAGCCCTGAGGGCTCTCATGAACCACCAGACTAATTTTAATGAAACTAAGAAAGTAATCGTTGGATAAATATCAACAACTGATATTTAGGGCTCAACTTATTTCAAGATGGCTGCCAAAGCTAACTGACTTTAGTCAACAGACAACCGTGGACTTGGTGGGGTAATAGCTGAGAGTCTTCATTAGATACTCTGAGCACATTCAGATCACATAAAACCTTTACATGAAACCTTTACATGGATGCTGGCAGGCGATATGCATTCAGTATAAAAGGTTTTCATTGGACTTTTCACAATAAAACAACTGGCATTTTCACAATAAAATAAACTAAAAAAACACTCATCAAATCCAATGTCTGCAGAGAGAGACCAAATAAATAAAAACATAAAATGTAAAACAGCCCCTTTAAAGTGTTCAAAACTTACTTTACTTCCATCCATCCATCCATCCATCCATCCATCCATCCATCCATCCATCCATCCATCCATCCATCCATCATCTTCTGCTTGTTCCAAAGTCAGGTCGTGGGAGCAGCATCTTGAGTAGGGAGGCCCAGACCACTCTTTCCACAACCTCCTCTTCCAGCTCTTCTGGGAGGACCCCAAGGTGTTCCCAGGACAACCGAGAGACGTAGTCTCTCTAGCGTGTCTTGGGTCTTCCCTGGGGTTCCTTCCCAGTCGGACATGCCAGAAGCACCTCCCTAGGAAGGAGTCCAGGGGGCATCCTTACCAGATGCCCGAACCACCTCACCTTACTTTACTTTAAAGTAAATATTTTTCTATCCCTTTAGCTTTTAGTTAACATTTTGTTACTTTTAAATTTTAGTTAGCCTTTTTGTTACTTTTATCTTTTACTGTTCCTTTGCTACTTTTAGCTTCTAGTTAGCTTTTTGATACTTTTCACTAGCCTTTTGCTTCTTTTAGGTTTTAGCTGGTTATTGGCTGCTTTAACTTTCAGTGAGCTTTTTGCTATACTTAGCCTTATTTATCTTTTAACGAGCCTTTTTATTAAATGTTTTCTTCTTTTTTTTTTGTGAGCATTTATCTACTTAGTGCTTTCAGCTCATGTTCACCTTTATTTAGCTGTAACTCAGTTTTATCCCTAACATTTGGCTCAGCGTGCAGGCTGCAGTTTTACTGAAGATGTCATTTCTCTGTTGTCATTAGTTCCTGAATGTGTTGAAGTTTGGATTATTTACCCGTTTGTTTTCTGCTGCTGCTGACCCTGCTGGACCTTTGCAGCGCCGGGTGCTCCATATGTTGATTTTTCAGCACGTTGGCACCAACCTCAGCTCCCAGGATTAATGAACATGTTCTCCTGCTCTTCCAGGCAGATCTGAGAAGTGTGGCTGCCATTAAATGAATTATGGTCTGTCACCGGATCAAGTGTTCTGATGAAATAATCAGATTAGAGACGTGAAGCTCAGCCGGAATCTGATTTCCTCAACCTGATTACATTTTGTTGACAGGATGCTGGAGAATCTGAAGGCTGTTGGCTCCACACAGTCAAGGTTGTCATGTCCTGTAGAAACTCGCTCTTCAGCTGAGTAAACACTACCAAACAGCTGACTGAGTGCAAAAGTCTTAAACCATCCACGATCTGCTTCTCTCAGTCCTGATCCATAGCACATGGCTCTAAGGGAGTTTAAGTTTAAGGGAGCGTTGATTCATATTCTGTGTGTCATAAAAATAATTATCTAATTTTGAACAACCTACAACTCACTGTTTGTTGTGACAAAGAAATATTCACCACCACATTCACTCCCTTTTTCTTCCCCGGGTTACAGAGACCTGGTGTCTCTCCAACAGTCACTGTGTGAGAGAAGGGGGACACCTGAACATGTCTCCAGTCCATCACAGAGCCACCTGGACAGGTCTGCAGTCCATCACAGAGACACCTGGACAGGTCTCCAGTCCATCACAGAGACACCTGAACAGGTCTTAAGTCCATCACAGAGACACCTGAACAGGTCTTAAGTCCATCACAGAGACACCTGGACAGGTCTCCAGTCCATCACAGAGACACCTGAACAGGTCTTAAGTCCATCACAGAGACACCCAGACAGGTCTCAGTCCTTCACAGCAATGTCCAGACAGGTCTCCAGTCCATCACGGATGGCTGGACAGGTCACCAGTCCATCACAGGGATGTCCAGACAGGTATCCAGTCCTTCACAGCGATGTCCAGACAGGTCTCCAGTCCATCACAGGGATGCCCAGCCAGGTCTCCAGTCCATCACATGCTCATACAGGTCTCCAGTCCATCACAGGGATGACCAGACAGGTCTCCAGTCCATCACAGGGATGTCCAGACAGGTCTCCAG